ATATATATATATATATATCCTAACAATACGTGGAGCTAAAAGTTCAGGAAGGAAATAAGCAATCTGGTACCTCCTTCACTGAATCCTCAGAGAAATCTAGAGGGAAACAGCATTCCTTTATGAAGATGAAGACTGATAAAATAAGAGCACATTAGCAGTAGTTATTTCTAAGTAATGGGACTATAGGTGATTCGCATTGTTTTACAATGTTCTGCATTTTCCCAGTTTTAAAAAGTTATGTATTACTTATGTAACCAGAATGTTTTATTTAATAAAAACAATCGACTCCTGAGGCCTCATGCTGGAAAGGCAGCACCTTACAGACTGTGGGAGAAGAAGGGGCCAGAGCCTCAGTTTCTCCATGTCAAGTGAAAGGGTGAAATGGTACCCTCCAACGTCTTTTTTTGTTTTTGTTTTGGCACTGAGGCTTGATCCCAGGACCTTTGCATTAAACTATATCCCCAACCCTTTTTTATTTTCTCATTTTGAGACAGGGTCTCCTTAAGTTGCCCAGGCTGGGCAACCTGTGATCCTCTTGCTTCAGCCTCCCAGAGTGTTGGCATTACAGGCCTTTGCAACAACTTCTAGACGCAACATCTATTTACATTCAAAACCAACAATTACTGAGCTTATTTGGCTGAGCACTACAGGAAATTCTCAAACAAACAAGATCCTGTAAAAATAGCTAACAACAACAACAACAACAACAAATGGCAGCTTGCAGGTAACTCACATCTGGTGCAGCAACCACAAATAGTTAAGAATTCTCTGTGACCCAATGGCCACTGGCTGGCCTTTCTATCTCCACAGCCTGCCCCTGCCCTACGGGTTTCAGGGCACTTGGCTATATAGTTTAGGCACTGAAGATTTGGGTCATGATACCGGGCTGTGTAACTGAGAAGGAATGGAGAGAGAGAGAGAAAAAAAAAAAAACAATGAAACTAAACCTCTGCGATAACAACTGAGTTTCACCCCAACGGGAACGACTGAAGGAAATAGTTTATGTAAGCTTAAGCAAGTCAGATTCTAGAAGCAGGTTTTTCTACAAGTGCACATGCAGTTTCAGGCCAGGTTCTGAGGATTCAGGATGGCCCAGGCCACCACCCTTTTCAGGACAACCCAAGTTTTGGGGCTGAGAAGCTTCCTAAGAAACAGTGTCATGGGGTTAACAAGTGTCATCCCAGCCACACCAGACATGCTATTGTTTTGTAGCTTCATGAATGAAACATAATGCAGTCTTCTCAGGAGGCCCCAAATGCTATCACTGTGCTAAAAATAAAGAATGGGCAGGAAGTGTAATTTATACACGAGGTTAATCAAGGCTTTTGGGGCTTTGACAGGTGCATACAACAGCCTCTGATTGGCTTGCTCAGTTCCTCCAAGCAAAAGATCAACTGAGATAAGCTGCAAGGAAAGGTAACACACTGCAGCTGTGGAGGTTTAATTTACTGGAGATGAGGTTTCGAACAGGGCCAAATGGACTTATAAAATCTCCTGACCCCGACGGGCCATCCTCATGGCAAAACACAAAAGAACTCTGGCCCTATGAAGTGCATCAAACATCTTCTTTTTCAAAATTTATTCATGTATTC